GATACTTCAACAGCGAAAACGAGGCCAGACGGTGAGGATAGAAGGTTCAGGAGGAGGGGAGAGAGAAAATTGAAGAAGTTTCACTGAATCCCTTCACTAAATATTACCTGCACAAACTCCAACTGTCATCGTCAGGTCCCAAGTACATTCGTCTCTCCATTCACTCCTATCTCACACGCTCACGCATGATTTCTGGTAGTCCAAGCCCCTTGCCCAAAATCCTCCTTTACACCTCTCTCCAACCCTTCGAGGACGTCCACCTACCCCGCCTTCCTTCCCTATAGTTTTATATGGCTTTCCATGTCATTCTACTTTGATCCATTCTCTCTAAATGACCAAACACATCAAACAACCCTCTTATGCCCTCAGACTAATTACTGTTATTACTCCACACCTTTTTCCTAATTTCCACAATCCTGAATTTTCTGGCATAATATTTACACCACACATTGCCCTTAATCAGGACATCTCCACTGCCTCCAAGTCTTCCTCGCTGCTGCAGTTAACACCAAGCTTCACACCCATATAAGAGTGTTGCTGGTATACTATACTTTTCATACATTCCCTTCTTTGCCTCCATAGATAACGTTTTTTGACTCCACATTATACCTCACGGCACATCACCTTTTTTCCCTCATCAATTCTATGTTAACATCGTATCCTTCATAAATCCATCCGCCGACCACGGGTCACTCCCAAGTATCTGAAAACATTCACTTCTTCCATACTCTCACAATTTGATATCATTTTTCCTTATCTAAATCATTTGTACCACCCTCTTTACATTATCTTTTCACTATGTTCAATTTCAACTTTTCTACCTTTTCACACATTCCCAAACTCATCCACTAACCTTTGCAATTTTTTCTTTGGTAATTCTCCCTTAAGCACAGTATCATTCAGCAAAAAATAACTGATGTCAATTCCATTTTGAATTGATTCCCCAAAATTTAACCCACCCTCTCCCGAACACCCTAGCTTTTACTTCTTTACAACCCATTACTATAAATATATTAAACTAACCATGAGTGACATTACACACCCCTGTCTAAGACTTACTTTTGGGAAGTTGTCTCCCTCTCTCTACACACCTACCTGAGCCTTACTGATCCTCATAAAAACTCACTTTAGGAGCATTTATAGCTTACCACCTTTCATTATTTACTTGCAACATCTCCACATTGCTCCTCTATCCACTCTATCATATGCCTTTCTAAATCATAAATGAATAAAAACTTCCCTACTTTATCTAAATACTGTTCACATATATGCTTCAATGTAAATGCTTGATTCTCACCATCCCCTACCCACTCTGGAAACCTCCTTGTCATCCGCAATCATACAATTCTGTTCTTACCTCTAATTTTTCAATTATAACCTACCGTACACTTTTCCTGGTATACTCAGTAAAAACTTATTCTTCTATATTTTTTACAGTCTCTTTTGTTTCCCATTTCCCTTTATATATAGGCGAAAAAAGGACTATACATGCTCTACTCCGCCAATCCCTAGGTACACTTCCCCCTCTTTCGCATACATTTATTAACAAAAGTACCAACCCACTCCTAACACTATATCCCTTCCTGCTTTTAACATTTCCTTTCATGATCCATCAGTTTTTTCAAGCTGCTTTACCCCCTTTCATTTTCAGTAATGCTTCACGTAACACTCCCTCCACACTTAACATTCTGCTTTCTTCACTCCTAAAAGTTGGTTACCTCCTGACAGTGCCATGCAATTACGGCTCTGTTTCTTCCTTATCATTTAAAAGTTCCTCAAAAATATTCTCGCCATCTACCTAATACTCCATCTCCCCATTCTACTAACTCCCCTACTCTGTTTTTAACTGGACAAATCCTTAAACTTTCCCTAGGCTTGCTTTAACTTGTTTTAACTCACTCCAAATTCTTTTCTTAATTTTCATTAAAATTTTCTTGACAGTGCCTCTCCAACAGAACAGATGTAGGTTAATCTAATATACACTGTTCAAACAATAGGTTTAGGCACTCCATGGGAAGCAAGGCTCAAAATAGAAAGCCAGTAGAGAGCAGACCGTGCTTCAACCAGCTCTAGAATGGGAATGACAAGGGCAGACAGGTGAGTGGTACCTACAACACCTGCAGTTTCGTAAACCATCTTATTGGCTGGAACTTGGGTACTGATTGAACGATGGGGCTCCATCATCAACCCTTAGTACCTGGTTGGCTGATTGGGGGAGATAGCCTTTCAATGAGGGTGTGTACATGTGCCGAATAAAGGTTACGTACTCTTTACGTGCCACATAGCCCATTGTTCCCGGTACTTTAGTTGACTTTTACAACATGCATGGCTTACGGAGGAAAGATTCTCATTCCACTTCCCTAATGATATGAAAGGAAAAGCAATAAGAATAAAAACTATTAAGATAAAGCCAAAGAAAACTCAGATGCGTGTGTATACATATACGTGTAAATGCATGTGTAGTGTGACCTAAGTGTAAGTAGAAGTAGCAAGATGTACCTGAAATCTTGCATGTTTATGAGACAGAAAAAAAAGACACCAGCATCTTCCTACCATCATGTAAAACAAAATACATGAGCTTCTCCTTTACAACTACACTTGGCAGGATGGTAGTACCTACCGTGATGTGGTGACTGTTCTACAACCTATACCTATACTGATTATAGTAATTAAATAGTAACAGATACACGACTGGTGAACATTTTCCCACCTGTCTGGGTCATTACTGTTGTCTAGAAATATATGCAAAATATGTATAGGTCCCAGCAAGTGTTTTAGGACATTATTTTTTTTTTTTTATTATCACTCTGGCCTGATTCCCAGCAAGGGCAGGGTGGCCCGAAAAAGGAAAAACTTTCCCATCTTTCACTCCTTCACTGTCTTGGCCCAGAAGGGTGCTTTACACTGTCAGTTTTTAATCTGCCACATTAACACCCCTCTTAAGGAGTGCAGGCACTGTACTTTCCCATCTCCAGACTCAAGTCACGGCCTGCCGGTTTCCCTGAACCCCTTCATAAATGTTACTTTGCTCACACTCCAACAGCACGTCAAAGTATTAAAAACCATTTGTCTCCATTCACTCCTATCAAACACGCTCACGCATGCCTGCTGGGAAGTCCAAGCCCCTCGCACACAAAACTTCTTTACCCCCTCACTCAAATACTTTTTCTAGGCCGACCCCTACCACCGCTTCCTTCACTACAGAATGATTACACTTCTTGAAGTCACTCTCTGTTCGCTAAATCTTCTACATGTCCGAACCACCTCAAACAAACCCTTCCTCAGCCCTCTGTTTTAGACATGCTGGATTATATGAAACTCTGCCCCCCCCCCCCCCCCCCCCCCCTCCCCAAAGGCACGGTGTAAGATGAGGTTCACTCTCATGATGATGATGCAGGACTCTGTATTGATGATCGTTCACTGATCCACTGAATCTTGGCTTTATTCTCACTGTTAGACCACACAACAGTAATCTGTCTGTCTAGCTCTGTCTCTGCTTATTTTTCTTTCTGTCTGCTGTGTGTCTCTGTCTTCACTATTTCTCTTCTGATTGTCTCTCTCTCTCAGATAGCTGCTCAGGAACCATCAGGTATTACATATGAATGAAAGTATCACATCTGATTCCCCTGAACAAGTGAAAGTATATTACTCACCAGTTAGCTTTTATGTCTTTTACAGCCTCTCCTCGGTTAATGATGTGTTTCGTTCCTGAGACAATGTCAGTAAACAAATTTGAAAGGAAGCATTAATATAATGGTTAGTGGATTTTGTGTTAACCATCTTTTGATATTGTTTTAATGTCACCTTGAACCATTTGTAACTTTTTTAGTATATAGTTTTAGATGTTTATACCAGTAGGTACTGTATATTGTAATAACCTGGAACAGAGGAAAGGGAAATCTACTCTAATTTGCATTATTTAGGTAGGCATACTGGTCAGAGATCCAATTCGTAACTATGAGTCGTCAGTAAACGAGTTCATCGCTAAGTGAGGAGTGGCTCTGTAATCTACAAAGCACAGTAGATTTTTGGGTTTTATTTCTATAGTAATTTACTCCACGTATGATTGCTGCTATATGGGTACCTGTAAGATAGAGCAGTGACAAAGATAGTGACAGAGATAGAGAAAGATCTGAGACAGTTACAGACAGAGACAGATACAGACCTGAGACAGATACAGACAGAGCAGATAAGATACAGCAGTGACAGTAAAGCCAGAGTCAGATAAAGAGATAGATAAAAACGTGAGAGAGACAGCCAAAGTAATTTGCCAGCCATTCCTCCCTGCTGAAGAACAATTATTACACGTGTTCCTGAATTCATTTCTCTTTACTCCTAGGGCAAAGGTTTTATAGGTCTTTTCTGCAGGATATCTATTCCTGTAGGTTTGCTGAATTGATTTGGTTGTTGCTCTTTTAATGTTGCTCTTGGGTGTTTATTGTGCGTTTTTTTATATATCCTTGATCACTTGTGGCCATAGATTTGGGGTCAACACCACTCCTCTTTAAAGGAGTGTTTATATGACATGACATCATTGAATCCCTGGTTGTTTGCTTATGCTGTTTGCTCTAGCTGGCACCTCAATTGAGATGGAGCTCCCACAATGGCACTAAGTGGTCCAGATTTTTTTAATAACTACGCCAGATTGAGTGTTAAGGACCCAATCTATGATGACCAGGCATCTCATGGCCAATCATACCAAATTGGAGGCAGGATTGGAGTTATGGCTGATTAAGAGTGGACATTTGAACTGTCTTATCTGAGCGATTCTGCAAAGACGCAGTGATTATGTGTGAATGATGGTGAAAGTGTTTCATTTTGGGTCACCTGCTTTGTTGGAGGACCAGTCGACATCTTGAAAAAAAATGTATAATTTTTTTTTATTCATTAAAATTAAGTTACAGTCTCCTCAGGTAAGTTACGCATTTTGAAGGAAGTGGCCAATTTACAAATTAAACTTAATTTTTCAGAGCATTTTCAGTGCTTGTGCTACATTTCAGATGGATCAACGTTTATTATTTGGAGGAGGACAGAGTCAAGAATGTCTGTATATACAGCATAGATGATGAGCTCCTTATAAAGAAATTTGAAATCACTCAAAATAGATCATTTGATGCTATGGATGTAAGTTCATGTTACTTGTATCAGAAAACTTCTTCATTTTTTTTTACTGAATGAAAAATCCTCTAATTTGCTTTTCATTATGAACTGTAATTATGGCAAATTTTTTTATATAAAGGCCTAAAAAGTATATTGGTATATTTGAGATACTTTTTTTTTTTGTGGGTTTGTTTTTGTGAGCTTATTGGGGTTGAGAGTTCAGCACCTGGACCAACTAATTAGCTGACATTATCTTTCTATGTTATGCAGCACTTAATTTTAAATCTGTATGTCAAGACAGCATTCATTAATTTTTGTAGCCTATTTTGTCCTTGACTTGTTATGTAAACAAATGTTCTCTTTTGTCTCTGGCTTATATTAGTGTATGGTTTCCATCCATTTCCTTAATCCTGATCCCTTCTGTGTTCACATCCTGATTATCATATCTGTAGCCCAGAGTACACTATTTTATATGTTGGGATTGGATTATTGTCTTTATCTCCTTGATTTGTGATCTTTGTTTAATATAAGGGGAACCTCTGGTCACGCCTTAAATTCGTTACAAAACTATGGTTGCACTCGATTTAGTCGTGTCTCCCTGATTGGTTCGTGTTTGAAGCGTTTAGTGAACAGAGGTACCAATCATGTACTGGTCTCCAGGTTATGACAACTTATCTTTTGTTGAAAGTCCTGCTGAGTGCTTTGTTCAGGTAGTTTGCTACTCTTAATATTCCATACAATGTCTTGTTAGGCTTCATTGGTTTTGATGTTGTTCAAACTCTTTCAAAAAGTGCTACAATCAGTGGAAATTTAAAAAAATATATGATTTACTTCAAAAAATGAATTAGTCTCGCAAGCATAGCTTGCTACTGTAGTTACTAAATGATCAGGAGATGTGCTCGGTGTTATACCCCACCAAAGATCTTTTCCTTGAATGAGGTTTGAGGTTTTTTTTGGCACCTAGCCTATACTTTGTCTGTCTGTGTTTTTTTTTTTTTTTTGCCCTTTCCTATCTTCGTGAATTTGCATTGCATTCAAGGGAAGCCAGTTGATGAACAAGGCTTGCAGGCCTGTCCAGGTCCCTTTGTATTCATGCCTGATCCTCACCCAGTTTAATTTTCCTCATGAACTTGACAATCATCTGCAAACCAGGGACACTTCTGGTCTATCTTTCCATCATGTCATTCACATATTCACAAAAAAGCATGGGTCGTAGGGCAGACATCTGTGGAGGCCCCATTTGTCACTGGTCCCACTTGACACCTCGTCCGTTCCATGTCTCGTTGTTGCTCCCTGTCAGGTATTCCCTGATCATTGCAGTGCCCTTCATGGTTATGCATGCCCGTCATCTAGCCCTTTTTTCACTTATTCTTGTGAGGTAACTGTGTCGAAGGCCTTCTTGCAGTCCAGAAAAAATGCAATCTACCACCCCTCTCTTTTGTGTCTTACTTCTGTACCTTGTCATGAAACTCCAGTAGGTTTGTGACACAGGCTTTTTTTTCCCTAAGCTGTGGCTGGTTATCGTTTATAAGCTTATTCTTTTCTAGGTGCTCCACCACTCTCTCTGATTTATCTTCTCATGGCTTTGCAAGCTATACACATCAGTGACCAGGTCTGTTAGTTTAGTGCCTTGTGGTCTGTCTCTTTCTTAAAAAATGGGGATTCATTTTGCTGTCTTCCATACCTCGGTAGTTTGCCCAGTTTCACTGTATGTGAAGAGTGAGATAGATGCTTATGCAAAACAATATGGGATTCTTTATTAAGGGAAATGTTTCACAACCACATGCAATTCATCATTTTCTAAACCATTTATCACTTCACTGGATGTGTTGGAAAATTGTTGTAAGTGGCACACACTGTCTCTTTGGCTCCCTCTTAAGTCCCATGGAGAGATGTTTTCTGGTCCCTACATCTTTGAGGTAATCAAGCTCACTTAACAACTTCTTCACCTTCATCCTCGGTGTCTGTGTGTTTTTCATCAGCATTTGGTGGAATATCCCTTGTTTGGTGTTACCTACCTATTTCTGACTTCCCTGAGTCCTTTCTGTCTCCACTGTAAAAACTTCCGTAAATCTCTATGTGAGCTTTCTCACATACTTCTTGGTCGTTTCTTGTAGCTCATCACCTTCCTTCCTCAACATGATTACCTGATCTTTGACTGTTGTTTCCTCCTGATGTGGCTATACAACAGCTTAGGTCGACTTGACTTTTAATGCTATGTCATTTTCAATACTGTTGTTGGGCTCTCTCCTTATCTGTGTTACTCAATTTCTGGGCTCTTCAACTTATTCTTTATATGGTGTGGGTGTGTGGATGTGTTTAACGAATAAGTTTAGACAATATGTTTTTTTCACAAAAAAAGTACAGTAAAATCTTGATGTAATGGACCTTGTTATAATGACTTTTAAAATTGTGGGCAAATCCAGTGGTTAAATTGTGTAACTCCTTATTTTCGGCGTTTATTGCAGTACATAGGACCTCCATATATCGCGGGGATAAGTTCCAATACACTTACATGGCATACCTGAAACCACGGATACTAAGAACTTAGAGAGATCTCAGTCGTTTTATTTTTTACATACCTATGATAGTTTATATTGATAAATTAACATAATAAGTCGAAGGAGAATTAAACACTTTTTTCACTGATGAGAAGCTACTTCACAGCTTCCTTGGCTATGAAGAACTGCCAGCATCCTACTTTTGCAACTTTGGGGCCATTATTACACAAAATCAATAAATTTAAGGCGCTTGTTTTTGGCCATGGTAAGCAGTGATAACCGGATAACAGACGGAGGGAAAATCTGGGATCTGTGGATTATGGTATGGTACTACTGTATATCTGTAAAATTGGTGTGTATACTAAGATATTAGGTGTACAGCTAGACCGTTTATTACATGGATTTTATTTGCACGTTTTGAAAAAAATTTGTGGGCATAATTATATACATCGCTTAGTAAAATTAACTTAACACGGTTCCGTTTGAGGATGGGAAAAAATTTTGCCTCAGACTCAGGCCGCCGCCTGGGCAGTGGGTATAGACCTTGTGTCAGAGGGGGAGTCTCTACCACCATCCCCTGCCACGCCCCAGACACTCCCCATCCCAGCCCTTCTATTTGCATTTGTGTCTAGTATGATTCTCTCTAGGAGCCTGAGCTGTATTTTTGTGAATTGTGTTGTTGATCTTTTAATTGCCATATTTTGTTATGCCAAGCAATTTGGTCACCTAAGTTAGAGATACGAGTGTTGCCTGAAAGTGGTTAGAAAATAAGGTTTACGAAGTTTTAGGTTATGAAGAGGGGTAAAGGGAGAAAGGGAAGGGAAAAAGGAGAAAATAGAGATAGTAGGACCAAGAGGAAACATTATGGCCGTTATTAATGAAGCATCAGTTTGTTGCAATAAAAAAAAATGAATGAGGTAAAAATACACCGGTTTGTGTAATTGAATAACCACCGATGTCCATCCCTATCATTACTGTCTTGACTGACACTGACTTGGACTGACTGACTTGACTGACGCACTGACCCTTGACACTGACTCGGACTGACCTCGAACTGACTTTGACTGACTCGTCTTGACTGACCTTCGACTTGATGACTGGCCTTACCCGGCTTACTTGAATGACCCCTTACTTGATGAATTACTCGACCGATTACTGACTTGATGACTTATTGACTTATTGACTGATTTACCTGACATGACTATTCTTGACCCAATTTATCTTGACTGACTTGACTGTCCTGGACTGACCCTTACTGATAAGACTGCTTGAAATGACTGACTGCTGCATTACTTGACTTACTTATTGACTGACTCTACTGTACTTGCCTTTACTGATATATCTAACTTTAAAGTTACACTTTTTCACTGAAATGGACCCTGACAAATCTCCAGAGCAGCAGTGCTCTGAAGCACGGTGTTTAGAGCAGTGATGCCTTACTGTCAGTTGTTTATATATAATGTACTGCGGGGGGGTTTAAAATTAGCACGAAGAAATTCATTACAGAATTTATGCACACTCAGTACAACCATCGACTTCTTACCAGAACCTCTCTGCCATCTACCTCGCCAGTAGGGCCACAGGCATGAAATCTTCCACTTTCTATACAATCACTCAACAAACACCAGCACCACAATTTTAGGTAAAGGAAATTCGTTTATTTTCTGTTTGCCTTTGCTAGTCTTAAGTAGTAAATGCCGACATAATACATCACAGCAATGAACAACACCCAATTACCATATTCACTTGTTATTTTTGTAAGTGCTGGGAGGTCTAAAAAAAAGTTGTCTTGGCTTTTTGGGGCTCCCAGGAATATGTAACCCTATTTTTCCCATAAGTTCTCAGTTTATCTAACAGATTTACCTAACCACGACATTTTTCAGGGAACATAACTACTCTGTTAATACTAACGGTTCACTTGTACTTTTTTTTTTGGCATTTTTTAAAACATTATTCTGACACATTATCCCTTTAGTCTTATATACTGTGGGTTTACTGTATTCTCACTGTCATTTTTCACGAATAATATTGATCGATTTTGAAGTGTTTATCCCAGGAAACTCAAATCGTCGAAAAGATGGCAGGTAAAGGAAAAACAAAATTTATTCTGGCCCTGGGTTTGAGGATAGGGAAGATGAAAATGGAAAAAACAAAAAAGTATTCACATCATACTTCCAGGAACCTGACAAGGTGATAGGTCTTGTAGAGGCCTTTCTAGGACCGGAGGTTCGTTGTCACCTCGCTCACATTCTTTCACCAACCAGGTAACATACAGGTCATCGTTGTATTGCTACATTCTGAAATACAGTAGGGCCCCCATTTATTCTGCAGTAAGGTTCCCAGGCTAACTGCCAGAAACGGGACATCACCCAGAAAGCAGAATACCATTTTTCTTCACCTTATAATTATATAAATGTTAGATAACAAAGTTTACACTACACATATATAAGTTCTAGAAATGGAAACTAGGCATTTCTTAAAAAACAATAAAAAGTTAAATACACATTTAAAGTTAACACTCAT